GTGCATCTCTAGCTGTAGAGGTAAGGTTGCAACTTTATATAAACTTTTTTCTTTTCAAAAAATATCAATTCTACCTAAATAGATAAAATTTATATTTCTTAGAAATAAAAAAATTAACCGCATAGACCCTAATGTTATTATTGTTATTATTAATATTATTAATACTACTACTAGTGTATGTGCTTGTATTATTGTAATTATTAATTTTATTATTTAAAATATTTATTATTGAAATAGTGATCATTTAAATATATTTTGTTATAATAGTATATAATTATTAGACATTAATGTTATTATTGGTATTATTAATATTATAATTTAAAATAATGATCATTTAAATATATTTTATTATAATATTATATGATTATCTTAATATATTAAGATATTTTTTTATATTATAATATTGTATTAATTATAATAAAAAGTATTATATTATTTTATAATTATTATAATTATCCAACCCCAATTAGTATTATTTATAATAAAATATATTATATTATTCTATAATTATTATAATTAGTCAACCCCAAGTAATTGGGATAAGATTTGGATGATGATGATAATTATTATAATTATGATATTATAGTATAACAATTTTATCGTATCATAATAATAATAATAATAATAATAATAATAATAATAATAATAATAATAATAATAAAATAAATTTATATAATTATTTAAATATTTTATATTATTATTTAATAATTATATAATATTATTAATTATTATTATAATAATATTAATAATAATTATTATTATTAATATTAAAAATGATAGTAATTATTACTATCATTATGGCTATTATACTATTATATGATAATAAGATTATTATAATATAAAAATACTATAATATCATGTAAATGTTTGAATGCACATATTTCATGAAATGTAATGCTGAAATGAAGGAATCTCGACCTTATATAAACTTGTTCCTTGTAAGAAATGGATATTATATTTGAACTGGTTGAAAAAAATAATCTTCAATTTTTGTCTCAAATTTTCGTTGTTTTTAGATATCAGAAGACAAAGTTGGCAATTTTGAAATGTCGTCATTTATTCCTCGCTTAGACAAACACTAGAAAGAAGGACTTATATGATTCTTAAGTACAATAATCATAGCATTAAGAATGGTTATTTTTTAAAAATAATGATACAATGAAAGTTTTTGAACTTCATTAAGATACATATTCCAAGTAATCCAAATGCTATCCAAATAGCATACATCCGTGTTTTCAAGAAATACCAATTCTAAGAGAGATCAATTCCCAGATACATATTTCCTAGGAGTCCCATTTCCAGAAACCAAATTTGGTGCTCCTGAAAAACTAGGAGTATTTTTAGGACTTTAAAGTTAAGGGATGTAAACCTCTTCCAACTTATATGCTATACTCAATAATAAAATTTTATAGCTTTCTTTTGCTATGGGTTTGAAAAAACAATGCTTTAAAATTGAATAAAAACTGTTCAATTTTTTAAGGTTAAGATCTAAGTTATAGAAAACTCAAAATTCAAATTTTTTGTTTCAAATATAATTATCTACTGATTTTTGGGTGGTTTCAAAAAATTTTGGTCAAAAACTCTTCCCAAGTTAGTCTTAATTCCTGAGTGAGTAATTGTAGAGTATTGCTCCCACAAGAGCATAGTATATGCACTAAATGGGCTGATTGGGAATTCATTGGCGATCTATCCTGCAATTTCTCTTACTACAATTAATAACCGCTAATTTTAGGTTTTGCATCTCGGGGTCCTAAATTACAAGTGGATTGGGTTTTATCCAAGGGAGTAAATGAATAGTATATTCCTTCAAAAATATGGAATCTTTTGGTATAAAGTAAAGGGTGTATGAGACGTGAGTGCACTTCCAAACCCTAAATAAGGATATTTTTATGATGAGCCACTCTTATGTCTAATCAATTGAGGCTTATTTGGATGAAAATTAATTTTATTTCGAGTACATTATGTTATCTAAACTTAATATACTTTGCATAATACTATTATATTAGCTATTACGTATATATCTTGTATCATTTATTGTATTATTTAATTATTTAACCTTTCAAAAAATTATTTTCAGCAAAGAAAAACCGTTTTAAAAAAGATATACTTATATGTAATCCGTTAGAATTTGTGGAAGCATAGAAGGGAAAGAGAATCATTTTAAAGAAGATAAACTTATATGTAAATTGTTAGAATTTGTGGAAACATAGAAAGGATAGAGAATATTTACGTGTGGAAAAATAGAAGGGAGAGAGAATCGTTTTAAAGAAGATAAGCTTATATGTAAAGTATTAGAATTTGTGAAAACATAGAAGGGATAGAGAATATTTACGTGGTTCAGGCCGAACCCTTACGTCCGCAGATCCAAAGCCCCAACCGGCTATATCTTCATTATATTGGATGAATCTTTACATCAAAGAGTACCTCAATATATAGAGGACAATTACACAACTAGCGGAGATAAATATGATATGATAACTTGATGACCAAGTAACTTGGTCTCTATCTTCAAGATACCTAACCTTATCAAGAGATATATACATATACATCCATAATGATATATATCAATATGAACCCGAAATATCCATATCCTAACATTAAATTTGCCTATAGAATCATCTCATAACACTTTTATAATGGACACTGCCAAACAATACTAGTGCACTATCAGGATTAATTTTATTAAAATAATAAAATAAGTACATCTAAAATAGTCCATTGGTTTATAATATTATTTTTAATAATTCTAGGATTAAAGTGTAGCTAACAAAGAGTTGGAAAAAGGCTCTGATGATGATGATGCGGTGCATCAGCAAAATTCATTATAAAGATGTATTTCATATAAAAACATTGCAAAAGTAAAATTTAATAGACTAATCATCATCATCATTATAGTATTTTCTCAATTAATTGGGGTCGGCTGCATAAATCCTAATTCTCTATTCTGCTTTATTAAATGCCATATCCTCAATGAGGCCATAAGTCCTCATATTTTTTCAGACTACTTTCAACCACGTTCTTTTTTGTCCACTTTTTACCATTTTCAGTCCTTTCATTTGAACTAACTCGCACCTCCTAACAGGTATTGTACTTGGTTGGCACCACACATGGCTATCCCACCTAAATCTATTATCTCTCATTCCATCGTATATTGATATCGTGCATAAATTCTCTCGAAGAGATTTATTTCCAAATCTATCCCTTCTTGTTTTGTCACGCATCATCCTCATCTCAACTACATTCATTCTATGGGTATATTCTTTTTTGTCTGTCTAATATTCCACCTCATAGAATAAAGCTAGTCTCACTATTTTCTTATAGAACTTACCTTTTAACTTCATTGGTATGCGGCGATCACATAAAATTCCAGTTGCACAACTCCACTTCGCCCACCTAACTCTAATTTTGTGTGGGACATCTTCCTCGATTACTATGAAAAGAAATTACGAGCTCCAAAAGGATCTATGTTGTAAATTACGTCTAAAGTACTTATGTTAATCCTCCAAAGATTCATCAAATGTGCTATTGTTTTGGAGCTTTATCCATTAGTCGCAAAAATATAGTGATTTGAGATGTATTTGGAATTTTAAATCCCTCAAAAGCCATGACACATGAGTCGGTGGACTCCGGAGATACTTATAGCTCTTTATGACTATATTCAGTTTTTATTTTTATTTTTCTCATTTCCTTCCATGAACCACTCATTTTATTATTTACCCAAAAAAAAAAACCACTCATTTCATTTATTAATAATACAAAATATCATGGTTTAAAAGAAATGGATCAATGACTTGGATCTGCCACCCCAAAAACCTTGTCGGATCGATAGATAAGTAATCTGGATCGGCCAATCATAGCCTCCAAAAAAATTAAAAAAATCCCCATAATTTTTCAAATTTCTAGTTTTTTAGTTTTCTAAAAGAAATAGTGGAAATTGCGTTATATTTTATCATTACTGTGTCAATATTTTTTGTTTATTAAATTCATTTTATAGTTTTTTCAAAGTGTTAAGAAGATGGTGTCAATGAGAATGGAAACTACAATGTGGTGACTAGGGTGTGAGGGTGCTACCACCACAACTCTAACCCTTTTCCCTAATTTTTTAAAAACAATTCATTTTGTAGTCAAAGTAAAGATTTAACATTCAACATGACAATACATTAAATCTCTCTAATTCAAAATTTTTTTTTTATTAACTAGGAGTTTTAATTTTTGAAAGAAGCTATTTAGAACAAACTTAGTGGAAGAGGTTGTTTAGTAGGGAGAGAGAGAGAAAAGGTTGTTAGTAGAGAGAGAGACGTCGGGGAGGGGAGAGAGATAGACCAAAGTTTTTGTATGAAAAAATTATTTGTCA